TGAGATCGAGCTTTATGCGGATTAGATAAATAACCTGCATCTGCATAACCAATAAGATCTGCACTACCTTTGTTAGCATAAAACAAATCCATATCAAGAGTTCCCTTTAAATAACGCAAAATATGCTTAATCCCATTCCAATGTCTCTTTGTAGGAGAAAAGCTATATCTTGCTAGTAAATTAACAGAATATGCTATGTCAGGCCTTGTAGCATTAGCAAGATACATAAGTGCACCAATTGTACTGAGATATGGTGTTTCAGGACCAAGGAGTTCCTCGTCCTCTTCTGGAGGTCGGAACGGGTCCTTATTCACTTCAAGTGATCGAACAACCATTGGTATACTCAATGAGTGCACTTTGTCCATGTAAAAGCATTTTAAGATCCTTTCTGTATAGGCAGATTGATGGATAAAGACCCCGTCTGCTAAATGTTCAATTTGCAGACCAAGACAAAGTTTTATCTTTCCAAGATCTTTCATCTCAAATTCTTTCTTAAAATATTCAATTGCCTTTTTGAGCTCTTCTGGAATTCCAACAAGATTTATGTCATCAACATAAACAGTAAGTATAACAAATTCGGATGCCATTTTCTTTATAAAAATATATGGATAAATAATATCATTTATGTAACCCTTTTTCAGCAAATATTCACTAAGGCGATTATACCACATACGCCCAGATTGCTTTAAACCATACAAAGATCTTTGTAATCTGATTGAGTACATTTTCCGAGATTTTGAATATGCTTTAGGCATTTTAAATCCTTCAGGGATTTTCATGTAAATTTTATTATCAAGTGACCCGTACAGATAAGGTGTAACCACATCCATTAGATGTATTTCAAGCCTTTCACGTAAGGCTAAACTGATGAGATATCGAAATATTATAGCATCCATAACGGGTGAATATGTTTCTTCATAATCGACTCCAGGTCGTTGTGAGAATCCTTGTGCGACAAGGCGAGCCTTGTATCTTTAAACTTCATTTTTTTCATTCCTTTTTCGCACAAAAACTATTTATGACCAACTGGTTTTATACCAGTAGGTGTTTGGACTACTGGTTCAAAGACCTCTCTTTTAGCAAGTGCGTTTAATTCTGATTGAATTGCCCCTTTCCATTTTGGCCAATCATATTTTTGTCGACATTCTTCGACAGATCGGGGTTCAAAATCCTCACTATCTTCCATAATATTAACTGCAACATTATATGCAAAAATATTATTCACCACTATTTCAGATCGATTTAAATTAATCCCATCACCAGTAGAACTTATTAAAAGTTCATTGCTCACTTGAGTCTTGGGTTCATTGATTTCTTCAGGAATCACAAAACTAATCAGATCATGGGTCTCTTCAGGAGAAACCTTTCATAGTATCGTTATCATTTGTCGATTTTCCTTTTGGAGAATTTCGATCCTTAGAACCCAAAGGCCTACCACGCTTCAGGCGTGCTTTAGGTTCATTAGCTCTCATGCTAGTAGATGGTCCTGCTGGGACATCAATTCAGATAGGTACATTCTCTGTAGGGATATGTGACTTAGTTATCCTATTCAAATCAGTAAATGCGTCTGGCATTTGATTTGCTATATTTTGTAAATGGATGATCTTCTGCACCTCCTAATTACATATAGGGGTATGTGGATCAAAATGAGATAACGATGAAACTTTCCACATAATTTCTCTTTTGATTTCCTTTATCTCTCCCCCTAATTATGGGAAATTTATTCCATCAAACCGACAATCAGCAAATCGAGCAGTAAATAAATCTCCTGTCAATGGTTCAAGATAGCGAATAATAAAGGGTGATTCAAACCCAATATATATTCTTAACCTTCTCTGTGGGCCCATCTTACTGCGCTATGGTGGTGCTACTGACACATATACAACACATCCAAAAATTCGTAGATGGGCAATATCTAGTTCATGACCAAAAATTAATTGTGACGGAGAATATTTATTATAATGTGTCGGTCTGAGACGGATAAGTGATGCTGCATGTAAGATAGCATGACCCCAAACAGTAGTGGGCAATTTTGTTTTCATAAATAATGGTTTTGCTATCAATTGCAGGCGTTTAATAAATGACTCTGCAAGGCCATTTTGAGTATGAACATAAGCTACAAGATGTTCAACTTTTATCCCAACTGATAGACAATAATCATCAAAAGCTTGAGATGAGAATTCTCCAGCATTATCAAGGCGAATAGCCTTTATAGGATAATCTGGGAATTGTGCCCTTAATCGAANTCAACTTTTATCCCAACTGATAGACAATAATCATCAAAAGCTTGAGATGAGAATTCTCCAGCATTATCAAGGCGAATAGCCTTTATAGGATAATCTGGGAATTGTGCTCTTAATCGAACTATTTGGGCTAATAGCTTTGCAAACGCCAGGTTGCGAGATGATAGTAGGCACACATGAGACCATCTTGAAGATGCATCTATTAGGACCATAAAATATCTAAAAAGGTGGGTGAATAAGTCCACATATATCCCCATGTATATGTTCTAAAAAGGCAGGGGATTCAATGCCAACCTTCGTTGGTGATGGTCTAGTGATCATTTTGCCTTGATAACAAGCATCACAAGAAAATTTATTATTTGTAAGAATCTTCAGGTTCTTTAATGGATGCCCACTCGAAATTTTAGTAATTCGTCTCATCATTATTGATCCAGGATGGCCCAAACGGCCTTGCCAAATCACAAAAATATTTGAATCAGTAAACTTCTGGTTTACGATAGAGTGTGCTTCAACTGTACTAATCTTTGAATAGTATAAGCCAGAAGATAGAGTTGGTAACTTTTCTACAATGCACTTCTGGCCAGAAATATTCTTTGTAATACAAAGATATTTCATATTCATTTCATCTATCGTCTCAACATGATACCCATTTCGACGGATATCTATAAAACTCAACAAGTTTCTTCGGGACTTGGAGGAGACTGCATTGTCTATTATAAGTTTTGTTCCATTAGTCATAAATATAGTGGCTCTTCCGGAGCCTTAAATCAAACTTATATTACCAGAAATTATTGAAATATTTGTTTTTTCCTTATGCAAATAAGAAAAGTATTTCTGATCTTTAAATATGGCATGAGTTGTTCCACTATCAATTACACAAATATCTTCTTGATTCGTCTTTGATCCAAACATAATTTGAGGATTATCCATATTCTTCAAAATGACATAAATAAAATAAATATGATAGTAAACATCATTATCAAAGCATAACTTTTATTTATGTACAACAATACCATACTGTCTATTACAAATAACAAAAATTAAAATATTTACATTTCTACAAGTTCATCACCGATCACATGACTTATTTCTTCTTCCGGGAGTGCAAAGTAATCAGCTACATCCAAATGCATGAAGTCTAAATTATCTTCAGCATTTTTCTCTGTCTTCTTCAGGGAGGCTTGATAAAGCTCAACCAGGTGCTTTGGCGTACGACAGGTACGTGACCAGTGCCCTTTTCCTCCACATCTATAGCATGCATTTTCTGCCTTTGCTGCTTGTACTGCTTCATGCTTTTGTTCCTTCCTTTTCCACTGCTGGTAGTGAGAAGGGTTCTTTGGTGTATTATTATTACCATGATTAGAGTTTCTTCCCCGATCACGACCATGACCACGACTGGGGCCACGTCCTCTTCCACGCTTATCTTGGTGGAAGTTCGTCTTATTCACTTAAGGGAATGGACAAGAACTACTAGGCCGGCTTTTATGGTTTTTCATTAATAGCCCATTATGTTGCTCGGCTACAAGAAGATGTGAGATAAGTTTAAAATACTTTTTGAATCCCATCTCTCAATATTGCTGCTGCAGAAGCATATTCGAGGTATGAAAAGTGGTGAAAGTTTTCTCCAACATATCATGATCAGTAATATTATCACCACATAATTTCAATTGGAAAATAATTCTGAACATAGCAGAATTATACTCACTGATAGATTTAAAATCTTGTAGCTTTAGATGAGTCCAATAATAACGTGTCTGTGGAAGAACGACCATCTTCAGGGGGTCATAGCTATCTTTCAAATTATTCCACAATCCACAGTATGACTGGATCTTTAATAGTGAGATATTCCATTTTCAAGCCTTCATCAAGGTGATATCGTAGGAATATCATTGCTTTGGCACAGTCTTGGTTTGATGCTTGATTTTTATCCATGATGGTGTCTGCCAGACCCATCACATCAAGATGAATTTCAGCATCAAGCACCCAAGATATGTAGCTTTTACCCGATATATCCAGGGCTACAAACTCAAGTTTAGAAAGATTTGACATTATTTAGAAAAAGAAAGTTTGTACCTCTGATACTTTCAAAGTATTTGCTCGAGATGGCAGAGTCTCATGCTGATAACGTGTTATAAAATAAATACTGTAAAGTAAATACAAGTATAGAGAGAATATGATATATTATTCAAATTTCAAACTTCTGTACATAATAAACTGAAAACTCCTCTATTTATAAAAGAAAGGAGGTTATTGTGTAAGCTGCTATTGCAAGCTGTTGTGTAAGCTGCTACTGCAAGCTGCTACTGTACCAGATATAGATAATCTTCTATCGGGGGTAATGCTTATCTATAATGGAGTACCAAAATGATAAGCTTCTTCAGGGTGTTTATTTTCAATAGAGTACTAAATAGATAAACATATTTACGTCGGAGTCTCATATGGGTAAGATTCTTCAGGAAGGTTATTTACAATGGAGTACTAAATGAACATCCATAATATAATATATTTATAACAAAAATATATTTTTTTAGAAACAAATTAAGCTAGGGTATAATACATCCAAAAAAGACAAAAAAAACAAATTAAGCTAGGGTATGAGTATAACGATCTGTAAAGCAAAATTAACAGGCAATTAGGTAATTACTTAAAGTAAAAGAGAGATGTCAGTAATATTATCAAAATAGAAGGACTTTTTTACAATTTATTTATTTTTTAAAAACAGAAAAGAGCTTTCACTGTTTCACTTTACAAAAGCATCTGAAACGTTATCGTACACACCACCAATTTGCATTCCCAGTCCTCCTTTTTCTTCCCTTTTTCCATCTCCGGCAGCTCACAGCTCACTTCAACTTTTTCCACTGAGCTCCACTCCAATGTGTAAAACCCTAGCTAAAAATCTTTAAAGTTAGGGTTTCAAATTTGCAATGGGGAACTGCTGCAGATCTCCGGCAGCTGTCGCAAGAGAAGACGTGAAGTCTTCAAACTTCTCCGGCAACGATCACGGCCGGAAAGACAAGTCCAGCGCCGGAAAATCGCAAAAACCGGTAACCGTGTTAACCGATGTGAAAAATTCGAACGTTGAAGAGAAGTATTTAGTTGATAGAGAACTAGGCAGGGGCGAATTCGGAATTACATACCTTTGTATAGATCGTAACAGTAAAGAGCTTTTAGCTTGCAAGTCAATTTCAAAACGGAAGCTACGAACAGCTGTAGATGTGGAAGACGTGAGGAGAGAAGTAGCCATAATGAAGCATTTGCCGGTGAATTCAAGTATTGTGAGCTTTAGAGAAGCTTGTGAGGATGAAAATGCGGTGCATTTGGTTATGGAATTGTGCGAAGGTGGGGAATTGTTCGATAGGATTGTGGCGCGAGGACATTATACTGAACGAGCTGCTGCTGCTGTTACACGGACGATTGTGGAGGTTGTGATGCTTTGTCATAAGCATGGTGTGATTCATCGAGATTTGAAACCTGAGAACTTTTTGTATGCTAATAAGAAGGAAAATTCGCCTCTTAAAGCTATTGATTTTGGCTTGTCAATTTTCTTCAAGCCAGGTAAAAATGAAAACTCTAGTTGTGTTTCAATTTGTTTGCGGTTTACCCAGATTATTGTTCATGTCCTTTGTTTTTATCATGTTCGAGAATGTAGACTAATACGATTTAGAAAGTACATTATATACTCCACTATACCATACTTTCCTTTTTAGTCTATCCCAAAAAATGCCAACTTTCTATATTTAAAAACAATTTTACTTTAAAGTGCTCATTTTACGCTTAGTAAGATGATTATATCCATACAAATGTCTATGACTTGTTTGAGACCAGAAGTTTTAAAAGTCTTTATTTCTTTCTTAAACTGTGTGTCTGTGTCTAGTCAAATACCATCACATAAATTGGGATGGAGTATGAGTTAGATAGTATATTATATATGTATTTTTTTAGGTGTATGATCATTAGAAGAGTTATCAGTTTTAGATGAAAAGACTAACAATCATAATGATCATCAGAAGAGTTGTCAGTTTTAGATAAATAGCTAACAATCATATCATGCAGTTAGGACACTTTACTATGGGAATGACATTAAGGTTATCTGCTGTAGTTACATACTTTTCTAGGAAGAGGAAATGTGTAGGTGAGTTAAGGTATTGGTGCCTGACAAATGTGTCATTGTTGTGTAGGCTGTAAAACTTCTTAGATAAAATTTGGTGGACCCTTTCATAAATATTAATATCCCCAAAGGTTCAGTGGGTAGAACAGACAAGTTGCTAAGCTTGTAATAAGTTACATTCAGTTGATGCTGGGGAAAAAATAGCCTCGTCTCCTTCATTTGTACTCGTAACTCTATTAGTACAACTTACCAGACAAGTTAGCTCTGTTACTATAACTTACCAGCGAGAAGAAATGGTACATTCACTTTGTTAAACTCATTGGTTAAGTCGAGAAAAAACTTAGTTTTGATATAGGATTACCAAGCAAAGGTGATGATATTTTTACCAAGCAAAGAAAGGACTGATGGTTTCCTTGCTGTTGTTTATTCTTATGGCAGAGGATTGTTTCTTCCATCAAACCTCGGAGGCTTTTTTGAGTATTGAAATTGAATGTATCATGTTGGAAACAAAGCAGAACCAATTTGTGTATTAGAGGTTGAAACTTTGAATCTTGCTGTGATGAGAATCTCTCTCGTTCAGTTTCAGGTGATTGTTCTTCTGTAATTGCGAAAGCCAAAAGGGTTACAAACAGTACAACTTACAAATGGTCCATAATTCAGTGCTAATCTTTGCCAAGTTGCGAGTTACCTTGTGACAAAGGCTTGGCTTCACCTAAACTGGAGGATTGCATTTGGGGTTTTACAAATGGCCCATGAGCTGTTTCATGGATCAATTGATTGGTGGAAAGGCCTTATGAAGGAACTAAATTCTAGCAAACGTACATTCCTTAGGCCATTTCTACCCATTTACCTAAAACACTCTCCACACACTTTTTATCTGAATTCCATCATATTCTGGCGCAGTTCACGAATCTTGAAAGTTATTCTACCATGTACTTCCAGGAGTAAGTATAAAAAACCTTAGCTACTATTGCAGTATGATAACTTACTGTCTAAAGGCTTTATTGGCGAACTGTTTTTTGCTTGGATTTGACGAACTTCAAGTTTGGCACCCCTTTAGAAGAATGAGGTTGAAGTGATATTAGACATGACCGTGATCCCAAAATACAAACAATTTGGATATCTAGGCGCATTGTTGGAGGAAAAAGGTACGACAGCTGAAGATGTTACCATGGAACTGAAATTAGGGTGATTGAAATGGAGGAATATTACGAGTGTCATACAATAGGAAGATACTTGTCAAAGTGAAAGGTAAGTTCTACGTAACAATTGTCAGACAGATAATGTTACATGGAAGTGAAAATTGAGCCTTTAAGTGTAACATATCTGCAAGATTAATGTCATAAAAGTTCAGGTTAATCGGTACGTGTGGTCATATAAGATTGCGTACGACATTAGAAATGATCAGATTTGACAAAAGGAACATTTTGTACACTTAGGATAAAATGAGGTCCCTTTATGGATATACGATGAAAATGAAACATAAAGGATAGAGCAAGAAAAGGTTGTCTTTGACTTGTGATCATTCTATCGCACTTACTAACTGTCATTTGGAAATTCATGTGGGATGATAGACACATAAACTGGAATAGATAAACTTTTTGACAACCAAATTGATTTAGGAGCTATCTTACTTCTTAGGGGAAAATTTGTGTGTGGGTTGGGGGGGGTAGGTGACTTCTCCAGCTTTGGTGTGTTATTCACGCAGAACTCCAGGTTACCACAGTATTTGTCTCCCTTCCGGTTTATGTGAACCTATTTCTTTTTTGATCCGTTCCAGAAAGAATGACCCTTCTCTAAATTTGAAAATTCCAATTTTACCCACAATAAGAAGCTTTTATAGCTGAACAAATACTCTAGCATGTTTAACACCACAAGTTTCAAAAGAACTATAGCCACATAAATGTTATGCTTGTTTAGGATAAATTTTTTTAAAAGTCTTCATTTCTTTCTTAAACTCCATGCCTAGTCAAAGGTTCACATAAATTGGAATGGAGGGAGTAATTATTAATTGTTATTCTTCTTTCTTAGATCTGGAAAGTTACTATTAAAAAGAAATTGGATCTGGAAAGTTTAATTGCTTGTTTCCATGTTTGTAGAAATTTCTTTCCATTTTGCTTAATATTTGGGCAACAAGAGATTGGATTACTAGCTAAATACCTAAGGATCAAGGTTTTCGGTGTTTCTCTCTCACAAAAGTAGAAAGTTTTCCTTTGAACATGACATTGTTATGATTACTCATATTTATTTTAGGCCTAAGGTTCCCTTCAAATAATTTAGTGTAATTTTGTTTGACTCGACAACTCTGTCAGTGTGCTTAGATTCCCCGTGTAACGGTGCTAACTTGATACTTAAAAAGGAAAAGAACAAATCTGATTATTTGGAAATAGAAATAAGGGATGTAAGGAAAAGAAAAAGAAAGAATCTTAGGTAACTATAGGTCTTGGACACTTAACCTTGTGGTACAAACAACTCTTCTCATTGCCTGATTATTTGGTATTTTTCACTAATACTTGCCTATCATATCTAATGATGTTGATTATCTAGAGTTGTTTAAAACATATTGCTCATGTTTATTGCTTAAATATGTATTTTAGGTGAGAGGTTCTCTGAAATAGTCGGAAGTCCCTATTATATGGCTCCTGAGGTGCTCAAACGAAACTATGGACCAGAAATAGATATATGGAGTGCAGGAGTCATTTTATATATTTTGTTATGTGGGGTTCCTCCTTTTTGGGCCGGTAAACTCTCTTCCTGCTAATTTTTCTCTCTATCCCCACTCCCTTAATTCCTTCATATGTGCATTCTCAGATGCCCCTCATTTTATTAAAACAACTCTCTTTGTACAGAATCTGAACAAGGTGTTGCTCAGGCCATCTTACGTGGGGTGATAGATTTCAAACGGGAACCCTGGCCAAGTATTTCAGAGAGTGCTAAAAATCTTGTACGGCAAATGCTGGAACCAGATCCAAAGCTTCGACTGACTGCAAAACAAGTACTTGGTACATAATGTTTCATATATGTTTAATAATTCTCTTGGAAAATGCCTTCCCTTTATCAAAGACAGAGCTATTGGATAGCCTAATTTGAAATGCATCAACTCTTTTATGTACTTTGCATTGTGCTGTGAAACATACGTGCATTTTGTATACTAGACCGGTTGACGAGATGACTGACTTGGAGGGTCCAGTTACGACTATTAACCAAGAAAATTGGTAGGTATCAGCACGTGTGACATAAGATCACACCTAATAACGAATCCAACAATGGCATCAACAGGCTAATAACCAATCGGTTGAGATAGCCCTATATTTCTTCTGTTCATTGATTTTGCTATCTAAACTTGTACCTAAAACTAACGAGCGTCCCCCAGATGCTAGAGAGGTGCTGTTTACCTTCTCTCCGCATCTTGGGCATAAATTATTGTCTGTAACTTGTCTAGTGCGTAACATTATCTTTATGGGAGAAAGCTAAGCAATAGTGTAACCATTGAAGAGACGTGCAAGCTCCATAAAGTGGTGAGAGCTTTTTTTGTAATGTCTGAAGATGAAGTAAATTTAGTGCCATTTTAATCTCCTTGTTACAGCCATACCTCAGTGCTAAGCTGCTCTACATGTGAATTGCCATTTTTGTGGGATGTCAAGTGATTGAATCTCTGCTCATGTTGGACAGAGTGGTGTAACTTAGATAGATTTTACTTTAAGCATCTTAATAAGCTCAAACTTCCACTTTCCATTATGAGGAATTCATTAAATCGCACACCGTAGCATTCTTGAGCCTTGTAGAGCTGCAAGGCTTAAAGAAGATCTTTTTTGGAAGTCATGGGTCCCACCAGACAATGATTGGACCAAACAAAGGAAATGCCGAAATGGTACTTTGAACCTCTAGCGATCTGTAAATTTGGGATGAAGAAGGATGAAGACAATGAAAAGCATGGGCACATTGATGTATATTTGAGTATCCATTTGATTGGAGGAAAGTATGATGTTTGATGTGGAAATTAGTTGACAAAGGAAATACAAAGAAAGAAGTGGCAATGCATATGTCCTTTCAAATTACTACAGTGAGGCAAGACCTAGTAAGGCCTTGTATAAAAGTTAATTTGGAGACCTAGTAATCAACTGCCAGTTAAATACAGCAGAAGCCTAATCTGACCCTCTTGTATTTTGTATATTGAACAAGTTCTCTTTTCTTGTAGAACACTCTTGGCTTCAAAATGCTAAGAAGGCTCCAAATGTTCCCCTTGGAGATGTTGTGAAGTCAAGACTTAAGCAATTTTCTTTGATGAATAGGTTTAAGAGGAAAGCTCTGAGGGTGGGTTCATTTATCTGACTCTCTTTTTTTCTTTATTTAGCTTTTCGCTTCTAGGACAATTAAAAGGTGCATATCCAAATGCAGGTGAATGCTGATTTCTTGTCTAATGAAGAAGTTGAAGACCTCAGAGAAATGTTTAGCAAGATAGACACCGATAATGATGGAATTGTTTCAGTCCAAGAACTAAAAGCTGGACTTCCAAAGCTCAACTCACAGCTGGCAGAATCTGAAGTACAAATGCTTGTTGAAGCCGTGAGTCTACCTACCTATTCCTTGATAAAAAAAAAAACTTTGTAATTTGAATTTCCCCTTTTTTCGGAGGTTGGCATATTGATGCTGCGCAGCATCTTAAAGAATGCTTCTGGTATTAGAGGTGATAACATCTGCATCAGTTGTCATTTCACGTGATATGTTTATGCATAAATAAGGAGGTTTCCATTTTTTGCTAGGATATTTTTTAGCAACCTTTTTGTTCTAGAATATCTCATTGTCGAGAGGAGTTATATATCCTGCTATTTTTCATGGGAATCAGCTGAATGAAAATATTGAATTTTGAACTAAGGGAAAAGAAAAAAGGAACCAGAAAAGTAAGTTTCAGAGATTTATGCTTTAAATTATTTGAACTTCATGTTAACATTAACTGATCTTCTGTTCCAAGTTTGTGAAAAACCTCTTGAAAAGAACTTTTCCTAGCATAGTCGACGAGTTCTTGTTTTGTCTTCTCGTCCTGTTTATATCTGGTTGGAAATATAGAATCCTCCTTATTTCTACTCACTTCTGCTGTGTTTAAATTGTCGTCTTCCAGTTACAGTCTTTGGCTCTATTAATATCTGCAATTTAGTTGATATAAGCTGGTTAAGATGGGTAAGCAGTCCTTTTGTTATGTTTGCTTGCTTATGTAGTTCATTGCAGCTAATATTACTGAAATGTCATCACTGATCAAGTTACTTAAATATATTTCACTGACTGCCCTTTTTTCTCTATCCACAAAGAAAAGTAGAAGAAAGGAAATAAGAAATTAAGCAAGAAAGCGTAAACATGGGATACTTTGTTTCATGCAGATTGATACCAATGGCAAAGGGACCCTGGACTATGGAGAATTTATTGCTGTTTCACTCCATCTTCAAAGGATGGCTAACGATGAACATCTGCACAAGGCTTTCTCCTACTTTGATAAGGATGGAAACGGTTACATTGAACCAGATGAGCTTCGAGATGCCTTGATGGAGGATGGAGCAGAAAACTGCGCCAATGTGGCGAATGACATTTTCCAGGAGGTTGATACAGACAAGGTGAAGCATGCGGCAAACCGAGAAGCCTCTGCTACTAACATGTATTTATCTTGGGATAGTATTTTCCTTATCTTCTCTCTCTACGAATGCAGGATGGGCGCATCAGCTTTGAAGAATTTGCGGCCATGATGAAAACTGGGACAGATTGGAGAAAGGCTTCACGACATTATTCAAGAGGGAGATTTAATAGTCTAAGTGTGAAGCTAATGAAGGATGGATCGCTTAACTTGGGAAATGAGTAAGGTTTACATTTTTTCATCAAAATGAAGTATTGTATCGATGTGTATTTGATCTCGATGTGTATTTGATCTCTCGCCATTGTTTTCTGGGGTGCCCATTAGATTGTTTGCTTGCCAGGATGGAAAAGGGGCGACTTCATCTGGGTAACCGTTGTAACCATTTGAAACACAGAATGTATCCTATCCTCTTCCTCTTGACAATTGTTCCCCACAAAAAAAGAAAAAGAATTATTCTGCAGCATAATTTTTGTACAAAAACATATTTTTCTTGTTCCACCGTTGTCTGTGCCTATATTAGCATCGACATAGAGCATACATGGAAGTGTTCTTAGTTCAAAAGCCTTTCCTTTTCATTTTTTTTCCTCCAATTTTCGTTTTTATGTGATTTGAATGTATTACCGCCGTTTCGGGCAGGTGAAAGGGAACGCTAATTCTATCAGATTTTAGTCTGCATTAGCAACGTTGATGTAAAAGAACGACTTTTTTCTTTTGATATCTCTCGCATTTAGCTGGTGCTATTTCCTTTCTGTCTTAATTTGTATCTGCTCTCTGATAAATTGGAACCTGAATGTTAATAACTGCTTGAACATGAGAAAATCTGAAAATAGTTAAAGTAGTTTGGATTTTGAGTACAATAAGTTGGGATATTTGAGTGCATCAATATAAGGTGGTTTGAGACATGACTTGCTAAATGATTAAGAAGTAAGAATGATGAGATTAAGAAAGAATCCAGTTAAATAAGAAATAAACGAACGACATCGATAGGACTTGGTTATTATGAGGGCAAAACCGACAATAAGAGGAAGTTACAATCGACCAAAAAAAAAAGAAAAAAAGAAAGAAAGAAGAATCATCGAATATAACGCTAGTACCTTTATACCTCTTAAAAAGGAAAAACGAAAAAGCACATGATTTCAAAAGACTATTTAGAGCTAGAGAGAGAATTATTGGTTGTTTATAACCATATTGCTAATCCTTTTCCTTCTTCTAACCTATCTAATAATCTTCTCTTGTTAAGTATGATATATATATATANTAAAATGAATGTCATCCTTACATAATGATTTTAGTTCCGAGAATTATTGATAAAGATATTTATGTAAAGTTTGATAAGGTGGTTAATTGCTAGACTGTGACTCACTACATAATTTTAAAAATATTAGTGATAAGATGAAATGAACAATAAGAAAATAAAAATTGTTAATAGATTTTTTCCTAATTAATTTTGTAAATATTTATTAATTATCTCTTAAAATTTTTAGATTATCGAATTACTATCTTAGAAATGTTACTATAAGTAGATATCCGACCATTACTCAACTCAAAAGACGGGAACAAATAAAATTTATCTGTGTTATTTGGGTTTGAGCGAAAAGAATATATTTTGTGTTGTGATGCAAGGAAAATCAGAACTAGCATCTTGCAACTTATAAAAAGGAAAAAATGTATTTGGATAATAAAAATTCATTTTGGTATTCATCTTATCCAAGTTTTGTTGGAAAAACATAGTACATTAATCTTTTGGTTAGTTTCACAATACATAAAGAGTAAAATATCTTCAATCCTGTTTAAATCAAGCTCTGATACCAAAAATAATTTTCAATCTTGGTTTAACCCGAGCTTTGATACCAAAAGAAATCTTTTTACAATTCATCAATATTTTTGTATTAGTCAAAAATAGACTCGTCAAGTGGACCAGTTAAGTTTCAACACGTGGCAAGTGAGTTATGCTAAAAGTGAAGAATAACATGGACAGAGTGTAAAAAATACATAGAGCTAAACATGTTGATACCGTACCTATTAGTACCGGAACTGATCATCATAAAATAGCCCCCGATCATGTACGGAGAATCGCTCATAATTAAGAATGAGGAAAAAATCAACTAATCCCGGATTACACGAGATTTGCCTTCATTACGCCATCAATTACAAATCAATTATGTAACGGGCAGAACAAGAAAATCAGTTACGGAATTAACTCAACAACTACAAATTTAACTCATCAGTTATGACATTTTAGCATTTACTCAGCCGTTACAAGTCTTCCAAAAGTAATAGATGGGTTGAGTAACTGCTCATAATAGACCCATAATTCAAGGCGGATGGTTACCTAAAAGGCTAAAACTAGTTCTATAAGTAGACACACTTTACCACAATTGTAATCAACTAATTCTCTTCTTTACCATTCTATACATTGTAATTCATAGCAACTTGCTATCTAGTTTGCCATAATTCGGCTCATCAAGCTTTGTTCGGCTAATCATCTTATCAAGGATTATCTAATAAGAATTATTACATCTCTGCTTTATTTCACTATATTATTTGTCATTGAATTCATTTTCTATTTCTCTATCACGTTATATTGACGAAAATTTGTATCTTTTAAATTGAATCAGTTGCTTGTGGTCCGTCCTGCAAAATTAATTGCTTTGACCTTAAACATTATTTTTTGGGTTAAACAATTTATACTATCATTTATATACCCTGTCCTATTACATTACAATTACTTTAATTAATTTATCATTTTACTTTAGCCCAAGCAACATTTTTTACTTTATTATTGTCATTATATTAACTTTTTTACAATATTAGTTTCTATATATATCAGATAAAATATATTTTTAGTATAATTATATTTATACAGGGAAGCTAAAAACAAATATTTTAAATCAGGACCGAGCCATATTAGTAATTCAAATCAACTCCAAGTAGCCAATCACGTGAAGCCACATCATCGATCCATGCGAAAGAAACACACTTAACAAACACATTTAATCTCATAAATTGTATCAAAATTAATCTAATAGTCACTTTAAGTTCACTCTGCTAAATTATCCAAATAATCCTCATCCCTAAAAAACTCGCAACCTACTTTAGGGTTTCTAATCAATCTCATCCCTCCTTTCCTTCTCTCTTGTCCATCAAATACTTTTTTATTTTTTACGTTTTCTATATTTACCTTTTCCCAAAGTGGGGGACGAGAGTCTATTCTAAACATAGTTATATACACATACCTCCACCTTTCTTTTCTACTCACGTCCAAGCACACTACACACGATTTCCCATGAATAAACACATTCTACACTTAGTATTTTTCTTTCTTTCTTCTTTAATTATACACATTACACACATTTATACTTTTCTTCCTTCCTCCTTTAGTTTTTCACAAACACACACTTTGACTTTTCTTTATTTCATCTTGAACTTTCACAAACAAACACTGTACATGGTCTATTTTCCCACGTAGTTCGTCGGGCAAACCAACAATTCTCTTCTCAAAGTAATAGAGAGAGTCTTAGAGTCATAGACTACAACTCAATGTACTCATATCAATATGAGAGACACACAAGAACACCTTTTAATGCACACACATATACTCTTATTTTGACAGCCCAATAAACACAATCTTATATCAGATCTGAAAATATCCATCATTTAGGACCAATAATATATTTGCAGCAATAGCCAAGTGTTTGAGAACTGAAAAGGGACAAAGCTACTGAGGCTAGATAATCTGTAACAAGTGAAGATGCTATAATGTACTTTAGCCAAAACCTAAATAAAGCCTCAAGATAAGAAAGTGATACACTCATTAGCTTGCATTGGAAAATTTGTGTTGGATCTTCAATAGAAATGCAATTGGATATTTTTGCTCAATAGCAATAGTAGCTGAAACTGGTATCTTAGATTTACACAGCACACTTCAGACATCTAACTTCTCATGTTCTGTATACTGATGGTTACAATGCTCTTTTTTTTTTTAAAAAGAAAGCATGGGTAATCATTGGTGATGAAGTTGTACAACGGTTCTTCATAACAACTGAGATATATGAGGCTATAAACTATACTGTGACTCTCATTCCCAAATTCCAAAATCCATCAAAAATCTCTGAGTTTAGGACTATATCCTGTTGCACCATTCTATACAAAATTATATCCAAAATTTTAACAGAGGTTGATAGAAGTAGTGATTGATGATCGTAGTCTACTTTTATGCCTGGTAGAGTAATCTCAGACAATATAATACTCAATCATGAGCTGGTGAAGGGTTACACTAGAAAGTCTGATTCAGCCAGGTGCATGCTTAAAATAGATATCAGAAAAGTCTCTGACTCAAAACTTTTTGGAGCAGTGCTGATTCACTTAAACTTTCCTGATGCTCTCATACAGTGGATCATGAAGTGTATTTACTTATAAATGGACAACCAACACATTCATTCCCAACAAAGAAGGGGCTTAGACAAGGATATTACCTTTTCGCGTTTCTGTTTATCATAGCTATGGAGTATCTAACCAAGATGTTGAAGGGGCTGAGAGATAAAAAAAAAGTTTCATTACCACCCAAAATGTGCCAAACTGAACATAGTCCACTTGAGATTTGTTGATGATTTACTATTATTTTGTTAAGGGGATGTGGAGTCAATAATAATCATGTATATTTGATTGTTTCTAAGGTTTCCCTCGTGTATCTGGACTTGTGGCAAATATTGAGAGAAAGTTTTGTCTATTTTGGAGGAGTTACCCCAGATGTGTAGCAGGTTATACTTGACTACCTAGGTGCTCCAAGATGGGTGTTCAAATTGTATTTGGCTTTGAATGGTAGACTGCAGTCAATAGCTCAATGGAGTACCATAGATGATCTGGCATTGCCCTTTTGTTTGGCCTCCACTGAAACACTTGATCACTTACTATTTCAACGTCAGATGTCTTCTATAATTTGGAAATAGATTTTACAGTGGCAGGGGGTAGACAGGAATCCTTATGAATGGAGAAGGGAGGTTGAATAGGCAGAGACAACGCAAATGGTCAATCAGCTGGAGCATACATATACAGAACATGTTTGGCAGCTATTGTGTTTCGGTAACTACTCCAAACCAACCGAGTACTATATTAAACCCCACATCCCACATAACCTTGTTCCAAAACTTTTGTACATTGACGATAATAAAAGAAACACGTGGAATCTCGTGACCCCTTATCAGATCAACAAGTCATGGAGTCATCTTGCCCCAACCAGAACCATAACCACTTTCTAAGCCGACTTTAAATGTCATCCTCCCAAATATACCATAATCAAACCTGATAGTACCCATTCTAGGTCTAATGGCCATATATTATTAAACACAACTATCCCACAAACATGCCACACCAATCTAATTCAAGCCGCAAACTGCACAATCCATGTACCCAAAAATGAAAAATGTTTCAAAGAAGAGAACTGTTTCGCAAGTTCAACAAGCACTTTTACAACCGACATGCTATGAGCTCACCATACATGGTAAAACCAAGACACACGAATCTAATAACGGTAACCAGCTCTCGTAGAGCTAACACTAAGA